TTTTTTTTTTTTAAATAACGTTTTGAATGTCAAAGGTTTCCTAGCAAAACTGAAGGGAGTGAGAAATTTATCTCTGAAGCCAAAAGAGAAGTCTCAACATTTCCAGAGGTATAACCAAACTGCTAACTCATTTTAAGAAAAGCAACTTAAAAATGAACCTTCACATAAGTTTATTTTACAATCAACAATGAGTTAGAGAGGAACATTTCCAGATTTATTTCTGAGAGCTTGTTAATGTAACTTAAAGCATAGGAACCTTCTGTTAAACTAAAATAATTAAAATAAATCTACCACCACATTAAACAAAAATGTCAGGGCTGGGCGCAGTGGGTCACACCTGTAATCCCAGCACTTTGGGAGACTGAGGTGGGCAGATCACACTAGGTCAGGAGTTCGAGACCAGCCTGGCCAACATGTGAAACCTTGCCTCTACTAAAAATGCAAAAAGTAGCTAGGCATGGTGGTGCGCTTCTCTAATTCCAGCTACCCAGGAGTCTGAGGCAGGAACATCACTTAAACCAGGGAGGCGGAGGTTGTGCCACTGCACTCCAGCCTGGGTGAAAGAGAAGGTGGCCAAGATTGTGCCACTGCACTCGAGCCAGGGCGACAAGAGTAAGATTCTGTCTCAAAAAAAAAAAAAAAAAAAAAAAATTCAGAAAAGTTCAAGGATACCATTATTTTATCTGTATTCCAAATAGGATTCACAGACAGAAGGAAATGAAATCAAATGTACATGGCAAATAATTGTGCCTGTAATATTCATTTTTGAAAACTCAGTGGGATGGAGGTTCCAGAGTACATACATATGTCAATGCTAAATGAACTGTTCTCTTAAAATGGGTGCATTTGATTATATGAAAAATTTAAAACAAAAATGTGCACCTTAAAGTTCTACTGTATTTGCTGTATCCAAGAAGACTCTCCCCAAAAAAGGTAATTTAGAATTGCCTTCACAAAGATGATTAAGTCACAAAGCATATCATTATATATGTAATAATACCATATCCATTTTGAAGTATATTACATATGTCAAAGGATCTTCCAACAGTATCTCTATGCTTCAATTTTTCCATTTGAAAATATATATCCTAAATGTAATTAGAAAGCACAACTGAATTTTGTGCTTGAAAACCTATAGACATGAAATAAAGTATAAATACTTTCACTGATAATCCTCTTCCTCAGTTCAAAATAACTAAGAATGACTTGTTTGTTTTTATAAGTTTCATTAACAGAATTTGAGGGAGAGGCATTATCTAAAAATGGGCAATTTACGCAGAAATGGAAAAAAGTTGTGAGGAGCTTTTTATGAGTCCCATTTATCTGGAAGCCTCACTCAGACTTACATCAGAATAAAAACTCTTTTATAAGAAAACTCATGTCCCTTGTTAATCACTCCTTATTTCTAATGAACAGTAACACTAAAATAAATTTTAAAAAAGAATTAACATATAAAGTTAGGAATATATATAACTACCAATACATTTATTATCTAAGGATCCTACTAGACTACTGTAATTCCAGAATAAAAAACCAATAACCTTATTTACTAGGTTCATACTAATATTTCTATTGACAGCTCCAGTCATTTCTACCTTCCAAAATTTTCTACCTTTATTAGCTATTAATAATTGTCAATGATGGATAATTTTATATTAGATTTTTACAATCTCAATTAATAGCAGAGATCTGAACCTAAGCCAGTATTTTCAAAAACTGGTAACTATCATTAAAGCATTAGATCTCACTGAAATTCACAAATGGTTACTCTTTAAAATATAGAATTATCAAGGGAAACTCATAATTCATTTTTCAGTCTTTCTTGTAAGCACATACATATTACACATAACAAATTCTGGTTAGATACTGTTATTGATATTAAGACATGGTTTACAAGAATAGTGTGAAATACAATGATTTCATGGCCACAGTAAGCCCTGTGTCTATTACGTGTCAATCTACAAAAACATGAGAGAGTAGAGATGAAAGTGAGTTTGCTGAAGTTATCTGTTATCCCAGAGCTGTTCAAAGTTGGTTTGGTTTTTCTGGCTGAGTAATTTAAAATAATCTTTCATCCTTCCGGAGTTGGAAGGGACTATATGAGTTTCTCCTAGAAATTTAAGACATTTAATTTACAAAACAGCAAAGTATATTATCTCATTATAAGCAGGAAAGATCTCTGCTTAATTAATTAGTGAAATACTTTGACTATAATTAATAGACATGCTAATATAGTTTTAATAGAATTTTTGGTTATGTGAATATCAGTTGAATATAATCTTTAAGCCACATTATAAATACATATGTGCATGTAAACGCAGACACATATATCCCAGAAATGGAAAATTGTGCAAATCTACCTTCATCCATTCAGTAAATATTTATTAAGAACCTATTATATACCATTTAAGACTACTCAAAATCTACTACATAAGATTTAAAATAGAGTAAAGAAAGTATTTCTTGATCAAATGGAAGAGTTTTTCTGCCACTACAAATCATCCAAGATAACTGAAACCTGCATCTACTATAGGGTTTAATTTCATTATTATTTCATACATATGCATATTGCATTACTGACTTTTAAATTTCATATACTGGCACTTCAGAGAGACTTTCAGGACCAATAAAGTTAATTTGCACAGATCCAATACGAGTTTTCCAAATAAGCCACATTTCTTCATATGGGGCTTAGTAAACATTTGCAAATATATAATCCTCTGAGTTAAAGTTGACATCTGACTTTAGAATGTCCCACGTACTCAAGATACCCACCTTGTAAATTGCCTCCCCTGGTCACCATTCCTACTCATTCAAGACAGCCACCAAATTATGCTATGGTCTTTTCTTGTTCTCTTGAGTCAGACCTATTCTGTCTTACTTTTGTCTTGTTCACATCTCACAATTCAATCAATTCTTGTCAGTCCATCTCTTTCTCATAATGAAAAACATATGCCCCTCTCTTTCCTTTCTTGGATATCTTGAAAAAATAACTCATTTCCATTTTTGTGAGCCAAAGAAATGGTTTAGTCCTCATGCAATAACTATTATCAGGTACCTATTATGTGCCACACACTGGGCTAGACCTTAGGAATGGCTAAGTATGAACTCAATGGCCAGAAATATTCTTGTAGCAAGAAAAACAGAAATCTGATTTCAATGTCAGATTAGGTCCCCAAAACAGTGCAATCAACCTTGAAAGCTCATGAAAGTACCCAAAAAAACCCATAAGCATCCTTCCAAATAACTATCCACCTATTAACCTTGCTTTTCTTCAAGCATTAACATTTAGAATAAAAAATAATATCTTATCCAACATCATTATTTTATACTTAGTTTCACCATTGGAATTGACTTTCTTATATTTTTCAAGGTAGCAATGGTTTTTCTATAGTGTGAGTAAAATATATTCTTAGACTGTAATAAACACCCAACAGTCACTTGATAAACTGTTTCCCAGGGAACATTGGTTCTAAATTTCCAACAATCCACTCACAAGTAAACTTCTGAAATACAAAGCATTTGTAAATTGGGAATGCATTATTCTTTATTTCTATATCTACATTCCTTTGAGCTTAGGAAATGGTACATCACTAAGGTAACACCAGTGAATGACTAGTTTAAAATAAAAAAAATTATTCTGCAAAGTGTAAAGCTGTAGGCAAGTAATTTTCCACCAGTCTAAGAAGGACTGAGCATGGGAAAATCTATTTAAAAAGTAAAAGTAAGTTTGTGATATTATCTCTCTGATATTTACTTTTAAGTGCAAGATACTCACTAGCCCAGAAAAGGTTTCCAAAGACCAGCTGAGCTGCTTCTTATACATAGGTCAACATTCTAAAAATAAATAAATAAATAAACAAAACCCCACAAAATCCCACAAAACAAAACCTGTTCTACAGGCTTCTGTACACATAGAGGAAATGTTAGAGAAAGTACAGCCATTTTATAGTCTATCTAGGGTACAAACCCCTTTAATATGCTTACTAATACTCTGCAGAAGTTTTCATTTCTGTTGTTTTGCCTTAAAGGACTCACTTGAGTTGATAACTAAAGACATATATATTTCTTGAGGCTAGCAGAGGGTAGATTAGAAACTCTGCTTAGAGTGGTGCATCTTCATGCAGTGACTCAGTTTCACAGTTAACAACATACACTTCCTTCCTCCTACAGAAGAATGATTACATGCCTCCATCCATTCCTTTAAAAAGATGTATATAATTAGTATACACTCTCCTGTTTTAAGATTATACAAAGAAGGTTTTATTGGAATGTGAACGGATATTTTAAGAGTTTATTTTTCCTTGCTTTATTGCTTATACATACACACACACACACACCAGGTTACAATTGCTCTTCAACAGAATAAGATTATATGAGAGGAAAGCTTAGTATAAACTGTGAGAGCAAAATAACTGCTTTACTCCTTACTTAGAAATCCAAATGCATTCATTCATTTTACATAAAGTAGGAAAACTCAGGTGTCACTTATTGGGTCTAACAGAAGCAGTCAACATTTAAATTATATATCCTTTTAATTAATAGTATCAACATTTTTATTTAAATTATAAGAGAATCCTATAATTTATAATACAAAACATCACAGTGATAATTTAAAATTTATTAACAAGAGACAGAAAGAGGTAACTTTTGAATTTTCATGCAGTTGAAAGAGAAACATGAGAAATGGTATACTGTACTGCCACTATTTTTGGAAACTCTTTGTAAATAAAAACCCATTTCCAAAATAAGATATTCCACGGACACAGAACAGTTGATAATGGTTCAAGTGCCTTAGGCAACAGAGAAGTATTGTTTTGTAGTTTTTTTAAACCTCTCCTAGTAACAGCAATTCATTATGCACAAAGAAACAAGGTAACAGTATGGTTTATAATGAATATACTGTATAAGTAATAACTACAGAACCTCAATTAAAACTAAAGTTTACCATATTCGTTCCATTTCTATAAACCAGTATGGATAACCTTGTTCATACTTACCAAATGTTACAGAAATGCCTTGGCTTGTCTAAGCAACAAAACGTAGACACATGGTGAGGTGCTGAAGACAGCTCTTTCTTGAGCTCAAAGCACTTTAGATGAAGTAGCCTTTATTGTCCATTTAATAGAGGTTGCCTCCTATTACCAAGTGTGGCAGAGAAAAGAGTTTCCACAATTCTGTCTTGACTTTCTGTCTCTCTCTTTGAAGAGTAACAGTTACCACCGGAAAACGTTACCAGAAAATGATCACTTGAACACTCACATAGAGCAGCTGTAAATTTCCACTCTCTTTGCTTGCTCTCAGATTCCAAGCCTTGCTTGTCTCTTAATCTGTCACAGGCAGTTCTGTTTCTGGTCAAACCAGCTTGCTTATGCGTCCTCCTCTCCCTCTTTAACACTTGCTTTCAGATACGTACCACAGTCACAGCTCCCTCTTTTACTTCCTCCCTCCCCAGTCCTGTAACGTCACAAGAATGCGTGTAAAGCTGAGGCCAAATAAACTCTTGAGCCAAAAAAGAAAAAAATCTAGAGATAAACACAATTTTTTCTCATTACTTTTTTCTGCCTTTAGTCTTATATTTGTTCGTGCATGGGTTTTTGTCAACTGATTAAACTGGCTTGACTATCTTGTTTAAAAATGCAAATAAAGGTTCTTTAAAAAAAAAGCTTGTTGATAGTAATAACAACAGATTCACCTGCTAATATGCTAGCTCCTCAGGGAAGATGCTATTCCCAATTATAAGAAAGTGGAGCAAGTAAACACATAAGTACCTGTATTAGAAATTTAATCTTAAGATTTAAAAAGCAAGGAAGATTTTAGAGTACTAATAATTTAATTTTAATAGTGTGATTTTATGAAAACCTAATGTATTTCTTAATATGGTATATTTTAAAACTTGGACCAAAATTTGCAGTTATAAAAGGGAAAGTTATAAAGAATACAGAAAAGTATTGACACCAAAAACAATAGATAGAGCAGCTTAATCACATATGTGCAAATCAAATGTAATTATTGCAGTTGGAAAGAAGGTTTTTCCCCCCTAAGCTTTATTGGTCAGAATGCATAATACCTCTTATAAGAATTACAAAGGCTAAAGGCAACAAAAAATTATTAAAGTTATTATACATATATAATTATAGAGTAAAATAACTTAAAATTATGAAACTCTCTTTAAGGTTTGGGGATGAGGAATTAGGTGGAAAGCTGAGTGGGCTGGTTGTTGGCAGGCTTAGATAGCATTTGTAGGATTCTTTGGAATTAGGAGGCAATGTATGCAGCTTGGAATACATGCTGGCTCTGTATGAATGCTAGTCAGATCCTGCTTTGGAGTTCTGTTCCAGCTTCCTAGCCCAAACCACTTTAGGTTCTCCATCTCCCACTATGTTCCCAATCAAAAGTCTTGGGCCCTTCTTCTACTGATGGATCTCCCAAGTACAGAAGGAACAAAGGTAGTTATTAGACCTGTTATTAAGTAACACATTCTTATTCTCCACAGAATTAAAATCTCTCTAATATAAGCTTACGTAAGGTGAAAGGTAAATATCTATAAATAGTTGTTTATACACCTTAAGAAAAATAAGTCAGTAAAACTCAGCCTTAAAATATAGATGGCTTGATCTGGTTCATTTAAAGTAGACTTAAAATTTAACTATATGGTACAGTTATTTGGTTATGTCTTAGCACCTATGAAATAGGTATCAAAGATGACTAGAGATTAGTCTTTCAATTAGTAGTTTTACACTTTTTAAAGTTTTATTCATGTTTTTAAAGAGATGTTAGATGGAAATAATTCTAAATCACTCAGGGTATGAAGTGCCTAGTATCTTGAGTTATACTCCAAAAGCTGCAGTATAATTTTAAAAATTTATATATAAAGGTGGTTCTTAGGGTAACTGCAAGGTTAATTTAAAATTGGGAGACTCTGTATCAATCTACAATTGATTCAAAGGTACAAAGTCAAGTCAAGAAATTTAAAACATAAAATTACTAAGATTATTTATGATTGTATATCTAATTCCTACTAAATATCATTCCATGTTTCCAACAGCAGGAGTGAAGAAATCTTACAATATACAGTAAATTGTGTTGAGTATTCAGAAGGATATTGCCTCAGTAGCAGAACCAAATTAGTTTTACATTAAAGGTCGTTCTGGTTCCTCCTCATAGAGATCAAAAGCAAGCCTTGAAAGGATCAAATTATTTCCAAATAACTGCAAGCCAGAGTAAAATTTAAAAATATTTATATAATTTTAAAAAAATCTAGCACACAATAATGTAAAATTCACAATGTGTGGCATCCAGTCAAAAATCACCAGGCATGCAAAGAAACAGAGGAAAATATAATATATAATAAGGAGATAATCAATCATTAGAAACAGACTCAGAAATGACACAAATAATAGAATTAGTACACAAACGCATCAAAACAACTATTAAAAATATCTTTCGGGCCGGGCGCGGTGGTTCATGCCTGTAATCCCAGCACTTTGGGAGGCTGAGGAGGGTGGATCACGAGATGAAGAGATCGAGACCATCCTGGTCAACGTGGTGAAACCCTGTCTCTACTAAAAATACAAACAAGTAGCTGGGCATGGTGGCACATGCCTGTAATCCGAGCTACTCAGGAGGCTGAGGCAGGAGAATTGCCTGCACCCAGGAGGCGGAGGTTGCGGTGAGCCGAGATCACGCCATTGCACTCCAGCCTGGGTAACAAGAGCGAAACTCCATCTCAAAAAAAAAAAAAAAATCTTTCATAGGTTAAAGAAGGTATTAGAAAGATAAGAATGCTAAGGAGAGACATGGCAGATATAAAAAAGACCCAGATCAAATTTCTAAAAATTAATACTACAATTTCTGAGAAAATGCTTATTCTGTTTTATGGAATGAAGTGTTGCCCAACTCTAGAATCACAAATAAGGCCAACTAAGATCTTTAAACAAAAAACAAATGAACAAAAAAAGCTCTATAAACTCTGGAATGAAAATTGCATCAAATGATATGAATGGCAGACTGCACAGTGCAGAAAAAATGATTAGTAAACTTGAAGACACAGTGACAGAACTTACTAAAATAAAGCATTGAGAGAAAAAAAGTTAAAAAAAACCTGTAAATTAACTCCAGATGGATTAAAGACTTAAACATAAGACCTAACACCATAAAAACCCTCAAAGAAAACCTAGGCAGAATCATTCAGGACACAGGCATAGGCAAGGACTTCATGACTAAAACACCCAAAGCATTGGCAACAAAAGCCAAAATAGACAAATGGGATCTAATTAAACTCTAGAGGTTCTGTACAGCAAAAGAAACAATTATTAGAGTGAACCGGCAACCAACACATTGGGAAAAAAGTTTTGCAATCTAACCATCTGACAAAGGGCTAATATCCAGAATCTACAAAGAACTAAAACAAATTTACAAGAAAAAAAACAAACCCATTCACAAGTGGGCAAAGAATATGAACAGACACTTTTCAGAAGAAGACATATATGAGGCCAAGAAACATATAAAAAAGTGCTCATCATCACTGGTCATTAGAACAATGCAAATCAAAACCACACTGAGTTACCACCTCACACCAGTTAGAATGGCAAGCATTAAAAAATCTGGAGACAACAGATGCTGGAGAGGATGTGGAGAAATAGGAACACTTTTACACTGTTGGTGGGAGGATAAATTAGTTCAACCATTGTAGAAGACAGTGTGGTGATTCTTCAAGGACAATTAGAAATTCCATTTGACCCAGCAATCCCATTACTGGGTATAGACCCAAAGGATTATAAATAATTCTATTATGAGGACACATGTACACCTATGCTCATTGCAGCACTGTTTACAAGAGCAAAGACCTAGAACCAACCCAGATGACCAGCAATGATAGACTGGGCAAGGAAAATGTGGCACATATATATCATGGAATGCTATGCAGCCATAAAAAATGATGAGTTTGGGTTCTTTGTAAGGACATGGATGAATCTGGAAACCATCATTCTCAGCAAACTGACATAAGAACAGAAAACAAAACACCACGTTTTCACTCATAGGCAGTTGTTGAACAATGAGGACATATGGACACAGGGAGGGGAACATCACACACTGGAGTCAGTTGGGGGGGCGTAGGGGAGGGACAGTGAGGGGTGGGGAGGTTGGGGAGAGACAACATGGGGAGAGATGCCAGATATATGTGATGGGGGGTTGGAGGCAGCAAATCACCTTGCCATGTACGTACCTATGCAACAATCCTGCATGATCTGCACATGTATCCCAGAACCTAAAGTACAATAAAAAATAAATTAAATTAAAAATAAAACAAAAAATGAACAGAGAATCCTTTAACTATGGGGAAACTTAAAAGAACCTAATGTATACTATATATACTATACATAGTCTTTGGGCCTTGAATAAACAATAGCAGCAGCCAAGAAATAGTTCTTACAGGCCTTGGGCATAACCCAGGACTGTGCTGGCTTCAGGTGTAACCCAGTATTGACCCAGCATAGTCCTAGCAACTGTGGTCACAAGAGGGCTTGCACCAGCCCTCCCCTAACCGTATGCAGCTCAGCAAGGAGAAAACTCTCTTTGTTTGAGGGAAAGTAAAGGAAGAGAATAAGAGACTGTCTGGTAATCCAGGAAATTCTCCTGGATCTTACCCAAGACCACCAAGGCAATATCTCCTCAAGTCTGCAAGTCACAACATTACTGGGTTCTGAGTGACCAAAGACTTAGATCACAAAACTTAATTAATTCCCTTTGAGTATTTGGAAACCCTTCTCAAGAAGGACAGATCCATTCATCCTTGAGAGGTCTAAGAAAAAAAAACAAAAAAAAGGACAAGTACAAAAAAGCCCAGAGTGTGAAGATTAGAATAAATACCTAACTCGTCAATGCCTAGGTACTGACAAACATCCAGAAGCATCAAGACCATCCAGGAAACCATGACCTCACCAAACCAACTACATAAGGAATCAGTGACCATTTCTGGAATGACAGAGATATGCAACCTTTCAGATAATTCAAAATAGCTGTTTTAAGGAAGCTCAAAGAAATTCAAGATAACACATAGAAGGAATTCAGAATGCTATCAGATAATATAACAAACAGACTGAAATATTTAAGAATCAAGCAGAAATTCTAAAGCAGAAAAATTTAATTGAAAAACTAAAAAATGCAACAGAGTTTCTCAAAAGCAGAATTGAACAAGCAGCAGAAAGAGTGAGCTTGAAGATAGGCTATCTAAAATACACAGAGCCATCAAAAGAAAAAAGAATAACACTAATGTAGCCTGCCCACTCTAGAAAAGAGCCTCAAGGGGACTCTCCAAGATGGCCGAATAGACACAACTCTGGTGCACAACACCCAGTGAAGAGAGACGCAGAAATCCAGAGATCTGGATTACAGATCCAAGATGGCCGATTAGACATTAGACACAACTCCAGCGCACAACACCCAGTGAGAGAGATGCAGAAATC